TATTAGATGCACTTCACACTGAACTGAGGAAGGGCTCCTCTGCTTACACATCCCACCCCACCCCACCCCACCCCATCCCATCCCATCCCATCCCATCCCATTCTATTCTATTCTATTCTATTCTATTCTATTCTATTCTATTCTATTCTATTCTATTCTATTCTATTCTTACCTTTCCAGCTTGGATCCTATTTTAGCAGAGTGCAAGGAACCACTTCAATCCACATCTTAAGAAAGCAGAACTCTTGGAAACGATCTCTTCCAACAGGAACTTTTATTAAGAGAAATTGATAGTAGGCATAATAGACAGGATCTGAGGGATTTCCTTACAAATCGATGTTTTAAAGTGTCCCTAAGCAACCCCCACCCAGGGGCGATTCAGATTTCTAGGTGTTAAATCCAGGAAAGATAACACCAATCCGGCTCCGTTGTGCACGATCATTCAACAGCTCCTCACACCTTATTTTGATGACGGAGAAATAAACCAGATCCCGGAGGGCTGTATCTTTTCACACACACCCTTTTCCTAGCTAGCCGGTAAGAAGAAGTTCAGAGGGACATAGGATAAGAGGCAAATGGTTACACTGTAATGGTTAGCAGACTGGAAGGCGAATAAACAAAAGGTTACTTTGTAGTGAATAGAGGAAGTGAGAGTAATAAAACCCGCATGCACATCCCCCCTTCCCCTTGGGGGTATGGCAGGATCCAGGAAAGGGTAAAAATTGGTTTTAAATCAGAGAAGATAGATAGAAAGGAAATATAACTGGATTCTGACGCAGAGGCACGTTGGGCTAAGAACCTTGCTGTGATTTATAGCTAACCTTATAACCCAACTGGGCCTTCAGCTGCTCTGCTGCCATGATCGGTGTTTCTCAAATGTGTCTATTTTCAGGTCCAGGTCACTGTGAACGGACAGCAAGTGCTGGCGGAAAAAGTCTCAACCTTGAGGAGCTGGTGGGAGGCCACAAGCTTCCAGCTGGAAAAGCTGCAGGCCAATCCAGATTGTGTGGCTCAAGAAGAGACGGGCTTGGCCAAGCGGACAGAACCCAACTTCACCCTGACTTTTAACCCTCAGGAAGAACTTCCTCTCCTTCAGGAAATGGGTATGAAATGGACCGGTCTCCAGAGGCGAGCTGGGAAGAGGGACTACTGTAACTTAACTCCCCAAGATCTTGGTTTCATACCAAGAAATAGAAATGGATATCCATGTAGTCCTCGACTTACGACCACAATTGAGCGCGGCATGTCTGTTGCTAAGCAAGACAAGCGAACTTTGCCTCAATTTACGGTATTTTTTTTTGCCCCAGTTGTTAAGCGAATCCCTACAAATGTTAAGTGACTCATGGGGTCAATGGGTGAATCTGGTTCTCCCCCCCCCCCCCGTTGACTTGGCTTGACTACAAAGGTCAGTCAAATGGTGATCATATGGCCCTGGGACGGTGTCTGATCATACACATCTCTCATAAATAGATATCAAAAACATCTGTGGTAAATAGATCAGTATCTATCATAAATAAATAACTATCATAAATACAGGCCAGTTGCCAAGTGCCCAGATTTTGACCACATGACCAGGAGAATGTGCAACGGTCACAAGGATGAAAACCAGTCATGGGACATTGTTTCAGTGCCATTGTAACTTTCAATGGTCACTAAATGAATGTCTGAAAGTCAAGGACCGTCTAAGTCAGGGGTAGGCAACCTCGGCTCTTTTATGACTCGTGGACTTCAACTCCCAGAATTCCTGAGCCAGCCTGGCTCAGCTTGGAAACCTCTCCCTTTCCCCTCAGCATGGCTGGCTCAGGAATTCTGGGAGTTGAAGTCCACGAGTCATAAAAGAGCCAAGGTGGCCTACCCCTGGTCTAAGTCAAGGACTTGCTAAGCGAGGCAGTTGCCAAGTGGTTTTTGTCCCATTTTATGACCTTTCTTGCCACCGTTGTTAAGCGAGTTACTGCAGTTGTCAAGTTAGTGACACGGTTGTTCAGTGAATCTGGCTTCCCCCATTTGACTTTGCTTGTCAGAAGGTCGCAAAGAGGGATCCCCCCCATGATCCCGGGACACTGTAACCCTCATAAATACGAGAGTCTGAACTTTGATCACGTGACCGTGGGGATGTTGCAACGGTCGTAAGTGTGAAAAACGGTCATCGNCCCCCCCCCCCCCCCCCAGCCTTGCCTGTTCCCCGTGTGGCCGTCCTTCGCGAAGAAGGGAGCAATGGAGATCGTGAAATGGTGGCCGCGTTTCTTATGGCTGGATTCCAGGTCAGTTTGTCCAAACCGAAGTTGCAAGAATCCGGAGGGATTGAGAAATAATGAGAGGAAAATCTTTGTTCTTTGAAGCTTCGGCTGAGTTGACTTCGGGGCTGCTTTTCATTCCCCAGAAATGTCACTCAGTAGGATCTGTGAAGACCTTGGTCTTCTCCGAGCTTAAGGAAAGGAGAGGTTTACAATCAGAGAGCACCAAGGGACCTCACAGCTCAACCCTGGGCTACAGATATTCTCTTCTGTCAGTATCAGTTGGATTGAAATGATCTAGCTGTCCTAGAAGGACCTCAAGAGCTGTAGATTGGCACCTCCATGTCTGTGGAGATCCTCAGTCATCCAGGTCATGGTTCTCCCAAAGGTGTTTTTTTTAAAAAAGGCAACTGGACTTTGTTTCTTTAGAATGGAATGGAATGGGGATTAGATTAGAATAGAATGGAATGGAATAGAATGGAATGGAACAGGGATTAGAGTAGAATAGAATGGAATGGAATGGGAATTAGAATAGAATGGAATGGATTAGAGTAGAATAAATGGAATGGGGATGAATAGAATAGAATAGAATAGAATAGAATAGAATAGAATAGAATAGAATAGAATAGGGATTAGAATAGAATAGAATAGAATAGAATAGGGATTAGAATAGAATAGGGATTAGAATAGAATAGAATAGAATAGAATAGAATAGGGATTAGAATAGAATAGAATAGAATAGGGATTAGAATAGAATAGGGATTAGAATAGAATAGAATAGAATAGAATAGAATAGAATAGAATAGAATAGAATAGGGATTAGATTAGAATAGAATAGGGATTAGAATAGAATAGGGATTAGAATAGAATAGAATAGAATAGTGATTAGAATAGAATAGGGCAGTGATGGCGAACCTTTTAGAGACCGAGTGCCCAAACTGCAACCCAAAACCCACTTATGCATCGTCGGGTGCCGGGTGGGTGTGGCCCACTGAGTGGACATAGCTGCGGTGGTAACGGCAGACTGGGTGGGACTAAAAAGTTCAATCAATCAATTCCAACTTTGCAAGATCTTTTTTTTCCCCGCAAGAAGTTGAAATTGACTGATTGATGGAACCTTTTTTTTTTTTTTTGTAAACAGTGGCGGAGGCCTAAAGCGAAAAGGTTTTATAAAACCCAACTAAAGGCCTAGGACTGGGGCGACGGCGCGCGTGCCCACAGAGAGGGCTCTGAGTGCCGCCTCTGGCACCCGTGCCATAGGTTCGCCACCACTGGAATAGAATAGAATAGAATAGAATAGAATAGAATAGAATAGAATAGAATAGAATAGAATAGAATAGAATCACAGAGTTGGATGGGACCTTGGGGGTCTTCTAGTCCAACCCCCTGCTCAGGCAGGAAACCCTATACCATTTCAGACAAATAGTTGTCCAATCTCTTCTTAAAAACTTCCAGCGCTGGAGCATTCACAACTTCTGGAGGCGGGTTTGTTCCACTGGTTGTAATTGTTCTAACTTGTCAGGAAATCTCTCCTTAGTTCTAGGTTGCTTCTCTCCTTGATTAGTTTCCATCCGTTGCTTCTTGTCCTGCCCTCAGGACAAGAAGATGCTTCGCTTCTCATCCGAGAAGCTTCTGAAGATCTGAAGAAGCTTCTTGGATGAGAAGCGAAAGGTCTTCAAGGAAAAACAAAGTCCACTTGCCTTTAAAAAACAAAACAAAAACACGCACCTCTGGGATTGGCATCTCCAGTTGGCCAAGGGCTACAGATCTCTGAAGGCAAATTGTTATCTAAAATCCTTCTCACTGACTATCTGGGTCCTCCGATGTATTATCTTCTCCGTTTTGGGGATTGTCCCTGCAGGTTTGGGACCTGACCATGCAAGATCTGTGCTCGGGCAAGATGACCCTAGACTCCTTCCGTGGCTTGGTGTTTGTTGGAGGCTTCAGTTACGCAGATGTTCTGGGCTCTGCCAAAGGTGGGACCTTTCTCCCCTCTAGCAGGAATGAGAAATTATCAGCCTGGTTGCATTGGGGTAGCACTGTGATAAATATTGCAAATGAAAGTGGGCCTTGCTGGGTTTCTTCTCTATCCATCTGTCCCACAGGATAGGGGTCCCCAACCTGTGGGCCATGGCCCGCTAACGGTCTGTGGGCTTTTCGCAACTGGTCACTTAAGTCGCTGGCTGGTGAGCACACATTTGTGGGTGCTCGCGGCCCCATTCGCGTGAGTGTCGCAGGCGCCTGGGGCCTCACTCAGACGAGCGTCATGGGTGCTCTTGGTCCCACTTGAATGAGCAACTGATGCTCATGTGTGTGCACATATCTACCTCTCCCACACAACCATCCCCTCTTTCCTCCCTCCGGGCCGCCAATCCAAAAAGGTTGGGGAACTCTGCCATAGGACAGCCATCTTCAGCTTGAAGAAGAGGTGGACTTCAGCTCTCAGAATTCTGAGTAATCCCCTTACGACCTGCAACAGACTGTGGGAATAACCTTGAGGAACCAGGGGAAGGGATGCGGCCTAGGAGAGAATCAGATAAGAGAGTCAGGAGCCTTCAGTGGCTTAAAGGCCAGAAGAAAATTGAGGAAGGACCCACCTTAATGGAGCAATCTGTTAAAGTGTTGGTGGGAAGTTTCTACTGTCAGACTTGCGACGTTCTGCCAATGTAGCCTTAACAATAAAGTAAAGTTAGCTCATCTGATCGTGTTTCCTATCCGGTTTACCTGGGAAGGCTGACATCAGCCTCGCAAATCTGAGAGTACAAACTTCCTGCCACCATTTTAAGTGCTTGCTGCATTAGGGTGAGTCCTTCCTTTGTTTTCTTCCTCTGACCGTTAAGCCACTGAGGACTCCTGCCTCTCTTATCTCTCTCATCTATCTATCTATCTGTCTGTCTGTCTGTCTTATCTATCTATCTATCTATCTATCTATCTATCTATCTATCTATCTATCTATCTATCTATCTATCTATCTATCTATCTATCTATCTATCTATCCATCCATCCATCCATGCATCCTTTTATCTATCTGTCTATATCTATCTGTCTGTCTGTCTGTCTGTCCGTCCATCCGTCCATCCATCCATTTATCTATCTGTCCATACCTATCTGTCTGTCTATCTGTCTATCCATCCATTTATCTATATCTGTCTGTCCGTCCGTCCGTCCGTCCGTCCGTCCGTCCATTTATCTATCTGTATCTGTCTGTCTGTCTGTCTGTCTATCCATTTCTCTCTCTCTCTCTCTCTCTCTCTCTCTCTCTCTCTCTCTCTCTCCCTCCCTCCCTCCCTCCCTCCCTCCCTCCCTATCTATCTATCTATCTATCTATCTATCTATCTATCTATCTATCTATCTATCTATCTATCTATCTATCTATCTATCTATCTATCTATCTATCTAATGTTCCTCAGAGAAGGGCTCTGGGCAGTGTGCAATTCAATCAATAAAATTAAGCATTTAAAACAGAGTGATTAAAAATAAAGATTTCTAAAAAATGTAAAACATGATAAAATTATCAAGGATGAGAGTATTCCAAGATAGGGAGGTTAGCAGGTGTTAATACAGGAGGTGGGGGATGGGTTCTCCTGGAGCCAGCCAGCCCCATGCTTGTGTGGGCCCCGGTGTCCCCCACGCAAGACTACACAGCCACGTTTTGACCCCTTTGCGGAAGGTCAAGAGACTGGGGGCTTTCCTCACCATTGCGGGGCAAGGTGTTCTGCAGTGCAGGGGTGGTGTCAGAGAAGGACCTTTTCCTTGACCCCACCAGTTTTGGGGTGACTGACAGTTTTGATTGACAGGGTCTGTAGCATGTCTTCCTTGCCTGAACAAGTGGGATGGGCTGATGTGATAGGGTGAAGCCGGTTCTGTAGGTAATCTGGCCCTGAAGTGCACACCTCTGGAGGACATCTGATGGAGGATGAGTTTGCAGGTGTTTGGGGGGGTGACACCTCTTGGTGTTAGATGCAAATCCACTCTCTTTCTTAAGTTCTGACTTCACTGTCTCTGATTACAGGCTGGGCAGCTTCGGTGACCTTTAACCCCAGAGCCCGGGCACAGTTCCAAGCGTTCCACCAGCGTAAAGACACGTTCAGCTTGGGTGTGTGCAATGGCTGCCAGCTGATGGCACTGCTGGGTTGGGTAGGAGCCGAGACCTCTGAAGCCAAAGACCTTGGTAAGCCAAGTCACCCTTCCCGACATTTCCTTGTTCCCAGCATCTCTACGTCAGAGATACGTGGGAAAAGGCTCCTTTCAATCTCTGACCTTGTCTTCCCTAGATGAGTCCATTGAACCCGGATTGCTGCTGAGTCCCAATAACTCTGGGCGGTTTGAATCGCGTTTTGTGAATTTGGGGATTGAGGAAAGTCCAGCCCTGATGCTGCGAGGCATGGCAGGATGTACTCTGGGCATCTGGGTAGCCCACGGAGAAGGTAATTGAAATGCAGAGGACAGGGAACATCCTCTCTTTTTTAATTTTTTTCCCAGGCCTTTTTTATTTGAAACGCAAATTAATAGAGTAGAGTAGAGTAGAGTAGAGTAGAGTAGAGTAGAGTAGAGTAGAGTAGAGTAGAGTAGAAGAATAGAAATAGAAATAGAAATAGAATAGAATAGAAAATAGAATAGAATAGAATAGAATAGAATAGAATAGAATAGAATAGAATAGAAATAGAAATAGAAATAGAAATAGAAATAGAAATAGAAATAATAATAGAAATAGAAATAGAAATAGAAATAGAAATAGAAATAGGAATAGAGTAGAGTAGAAGAATAGAAATAGAATAGAATAGAATATAGAATAGAATAGAATAGAATAGAATAGTACAGAGTAGAGTAGAGTAGAATAGAATAGAATAGAGTAGAAGAATAGAATAGAATAAAGTAGAGTAGAGTAGAAGAATAGAATAGAAATAGAATAGAACAGAACAGAACAGAACAGAATAGAATAATAAATTTTATTGTCACTTTAAATGTATGGCCTAAAAATATGGAACAGAACAGAACAGAATAGATAGAATAGAACAGATAGAATAATAACTAAATTGTCACTTTAAATGTACACTAATCGGCATACATTAAAATGAGATTCCGTTGCATACACTGCATAAACATGACAAAAAAAATACATAAATAAAATAAATTATGCACATACCCACATATACCCACATATGTGGCCCAGAGAAACAACACGGTCTAGAGTTTGGATGTATACATGTACAGGGCGAGAAAAACGAATCTTGCGAATTTAACAGACAGATGGCATAGGGAACAAAACTATTACAGAATCTGGTAGTCCTGCTAGAAATACTTTGAAACCTCCTCCCAGAGGGGAGCAACACAAACAGACCGTGAAGTGTAGATGTGTGTGGTGTCTCTAACAATGCTTCGAGCTCTAAGCAGAGTCCTGAATAACTGGAAGCGATCTTCCTATAATCTTCCCAGCTGTCCTTACCACTCTCTAGATGGACCTTCTATCTGAGGCAGTTCAACAAGCGATGTCTAATTTTACAACTTTTTCTACCCTCGCCATGCTGGTGAAGAAAATCACTGCAGCTATTAAGCGAACTAGGCGGTTGTTAAGTGAGTCACACAGTTGTTAAGCACATCCAGCTTCTCCTATTCATTTTGCTTGTCGGAAGGCGGCTAGGAAGATTGCCAATGAGCCCTGGACAACGCAACTGTCTTAAATATATGCCGGTTGCCAAATGTCCTGGTTTTGATCACATGACAGTAGGGGATATTGCAACGGTCATAAGTGTGAGGAGTGGTCATAAGTCCCATTTTTCAGAGGTGGTGTAATTTCAGTTGGTCGCTAAAGCAATGGTTGTAAGTCAAGGACTGTCTGTATCGAAGGTTCGTTCCCCAAGCTTGTGGGCTGGTTTCCGAACGTTTCGTTACCAGGCCAGATAACATCTTTGGCAGAGTTTAGGACAGGGGTAGGCAACCTTGGCTCTTTTATGACTCGTGGACTTCAACTCCCAGAATTCCTGAGCCAGCCATGCTGAGGGGAAAGGGAGAGGTTTCCAAGCTGAGCCATGCTGGGAGTTGAAGTCCACGAGTCATAAAAGAGCCAAGGTTGCCTACCCCTGGTTTAGGGCAGGGCTTTTTAACCTTTTCACCCATTGTACCACTTTTAGGATATGCCAACATCCGAGTACCACCAGTCGCCTAGCAAGGTGTCAAAAACTTGATGACCCAAAAAAAAAAAAAAAGGAAAAAAGTGATAAAGTACAGGTAGTCCTCGACTTACAACAGTTCGCTTAGTGACTGTTCGAAGTTACAATGGCACNAAAAAAAAAAAAAAAAGGAAAAAAGTGATAAAGTACAGGTAGTCCTCGACTTACAACAGTTCGCTTAGTGACTGTTCGAAGTTACAATGGCACTGAAAAAAATGCCCCCCAAGCCACAGCCGAGCAAGACGCCTGCCTGCCCGCCCGGCGGCGCTCTTCCTCCTGTCCGAGGTTTTCATTGTTGTGAGCATTTCTGTTGGGGATTGGCAGCGGGGGTGGGGTGGGGTGTGTTTGGTTTTTATTCCCCCCCCCCCCCGTCTGCTGGGTGGTTGCAGCAGATTTTGATCACTTCACATGACCCTGGGACACTGTGACTGTCATAAATATGAATCAGTTGCCAAGCATCTGAATGTAAATCACAAGACCCTGGAGAGGCTGCAACATTCCAGCTGATTGGCACTTCTTCTGCGCTCAGTGGGAGCGCCAGGATCAGTGCTGAACTCCAGCTGGAGCCTGGCACTGATCCTGGCGCTTCCGCTGAGCCCTGACAGCCCTGCAGCTCCAGCCGTCTCTCGCTCAGGCTTGTGCGGTGCTGCCACCGGTTCAGCTCATTCCCCTCCCCCGCCACCACTTTTCTAGGATGGTCGCGTACCACCTGCCAGGTGCCAATGTACCACAGGTGGTACCCGTATTACTGGTTGAAAAGCCCTAATTTAGGGGATGTCAGTGTCAGTGTTCTTCTGTTTATAAGGGCTTCAGGTGTGGGTGTGTCAAGGGAGGGTCTTGTGATGGGTCAGGTGTGAAACTCTTGTGATTGGGAGGTTACATCAGGTCAGGACCTCCCCATCACAAGACCCATCACAAGATTCACTGATGACTCAGATCTGACCCCTCACAGTCCCTCCCTTGACCCACCCACACCTGAAGTCCTTATAAACAAAAGAAGTTAGAATAACAGAGTTGGAAGGGACCTTGTAGGTCATCTAGTCCAACCCAAGAACACTGACATCCCCCCAAACTCCGCTGAAGATGTTACCTAGCCTGGTAACAAAACGTTCGGAAACCAACCCACAAGCTCGGAGAACGAACCTTCACCCTCATCCTACACCTGAGCTACAGAGAGCCGCCACTACTACTACCTGTACGATTGGGCAACTCGGTTCTGTTTTCACAACAAGCCCTTTTTCTTCCTGATCCCCAATAGGTCGGATGCGGTTCCGCTCGTCTGAAGTCCTGGCTCGGACACGCTCCTCCCGGCTGGCCCCGCTGCGCTACGTGGACGACCAAGGGCTGCCCACGGAGGAGTACCCCCTCAACCCAAATGGGTCCCCCCTTGGCATTGCCGGGGTCTGCTCTCCTGACGGGCGCCACTTAGCCATGATGCCTCACCCGGAGCGATGTGTGCTACCCTGGCAGTGGCCTTGGATGCCGGCCTCCTGGCGCCAGTCTATGAAAGTCTCGCCCTGGCTGCGCATGTTCCAGAACGCCTGCGAGTGGTGCCTGCATTATCCAGAGGGACAGCCTTGAATCCCGGTTCATCCTGGTGGTTTCTTTGCTTGAATGCTTCCATTCCCAATTCTGAGCCACCAATTGCAAGTCACCATTAGATGATCCCCAAGATCTGGCCAGAAAGCCTAAAACACCGTTCTGTCTTTTCAGCCTGGGCTCCTTTCCCAAGATCACCCTAAACCCGGTTACTGAACTTACCAGCATCCAGACATCATAGTTATGGACCGAACACAGATAAACCAGGTTGACATGATGCAACATGAAATTGCTATGTGTTCCTTTCCCAAAGTCACGCTAAACCCAGTTACTGAACTTACCAGCATCCAGAAATCATAGTTATGGACCGAACAGAGATTAACCAGGTTGACATGATGCAACATGAAATTGCTATGTGTTCCTTTCCCAAAGTCACGCTAAACCCGGTTATTGAACTTATCAGCATCCAGAAATCATGGTTATGGACCAAACACAGATTAGCCAGGTTGACGTGCAAAACGAAATTGCTATGCGCTCCTTTCCTAAAGTCACCCTAAACCCAGTTACTGAACTTACCAGCATCCAGACATCATAGTTATGGACCAAACACAGATTAACCAGGTCGACATAGTGCAAAATGAAATTGCTATGCGCTCCTTTCCTAAGATCACCCTAAACCCAGTTACTGAACTTACCAGCATCCAGACATCATAGATATGAACTGAACAGAGATTAAACGAGGTTAACATGGTGCAAAACAAAATTGTTCTCTGCGTGGGACCAATGCGTTTTCCAAAGTGCCAATAAATAAATGCCAATTAATTCTTTAAAAGGTGTCTGTTCTGTGCGGCTTGTTATTTGGAGTCAGCGATATAAATATATTCAATACATTTTGGCCGGAACAAAAAGCAGGAACAAAAAAAATATATCACACAGTACAGGTAGTCCTTGACTTATGGCCACAATGGAGCCCATTGTTTCTGTTGCTGAGAGATTTGTTAAATGAGATTTGCCCCATTTTATGACCTTTATTGGCACAGTTGTTAAATGAATCCCTGTAGTTTTTAAGTTAGTCACACGGGTTGTTAAGTGAACCTGGCTCCCCCATTGACTTAATAATAATAAAGTTGGAAGGGACCTTGGAGGTCATCTAGTCCAACCCCCTGCTCAGGCAGGAAACCCTATACCATTTCAGACAAATGGCTGTCCAGTCTCTTCTTAAAAACTTCCAGCGTTGGAGCATTCACCGCTTCTGGAGGCAGGTTGTTCCACAGGTTAATTGTTCTAACTATCAGGAAGTTTCTCCTTAGTTCTAGGTTGCTTCTCTCCTTGATCAGTTTCCATCCGTTGCTTCTTGTCCTGCCTTCAGGCGCTTTGGAGAATAGCTTGACTCCCTCTTCTTTGGGGCAGCCCCTGAGAGATTGGAACACTGCTATCATGTCCCCCCTCGTCCTTCTCTTTATCGAACTAGACATACCCAGTTCCAGCAACCGTTCCTTATATGTTTTAGCCTCCAGTCCCCTAATCATCTTTGTTGCTCTTCTCTGTACAAAATGTGATCACATGACCCTGGGACACTGCAACCGTCATAAATGTGAAACAGTTGCCAAGCATCTGAAATTTGATCACATGACCATGGGGATGTGGCAAAGGTCATAAGTGAAAAATGGTCATCAGTCCCTTTTTTCAGGGAACGGTCACTAAATGAACTATTGTAAAGTTGAGAACTACCGATATTGCAGCCTTTGGATTAGCACAGCTGAGTACAACGTTAGGTGGGGTTCTAATTAAAAGAAAAAGAAAACATTTATTTATTAAATTTATTGACCGCCCATCTTACCACAGGGTAATTCTGAGGGGCTTAGAAAGATAAAGCTACAGAAATAAAACGCTACAAAAGTGCGAAAATTATTAAACCAGATATGATGGCGGGAGGTAACGGCCCTCAAAACTCGGCAGTCCTGCTTGCCAATTGAAGAGAACTTGAAATTCTTTTATGCTATCCTAGTTTGCTTGTAAAAATCGTTTAATAACGGCACTTGTGCCAACCTCTAGACCAGGGCTTTTCAACCTTTTCACCCATTGTACCACTTTTAGGATATGGCAATATCTGAGTACCAGCAGTCGCCTAGCAAGGTGTCAAAAACTTGACCCCTCCCCCCAAAAAGGAAAAAAGTGATGAAGTACAGATAGTCCTCGACTTACAGTCATTCGCTTAATGACTGTTCAAAGTTACAATGGCACTGAAAAAAGTGCCCCCCAAGCCACAGCCGTGCAACACACCTGCCTGCCCACCTGGCCGCGCTCTTCCTCCTGTCTGAGGTTTTCATTGCTGTGAGCATTTCTGTTGAGGATTGGCAGCGGGGGTGGGGTGGGGGGTGTTTGGGTTTTTATTCCCCCCATCTGCTGGGTGGTTGCAGCAGGTTTTGGTCACTTCACATGACCCTGGGACACTGTGACCGTCATAAATATGAATCAGTTGCCAAGCATCTGAATGTAAATCACAAGACCCTGGAGATGCTGCAACATTCCAGCTGATCGGTGCTTCTTCTGGGCTCAACAGAAGCGCCAGGATCAGCACTGAGCTCCAGCTGGAGCCTGGCACTGATCCTGGCACTTCCGCTGAGCCCTGACAGCCCTGCAGCTCCAGCCGTCTCTCGCTCAGGCTTGTGCGGTGCTGCCACCGGTTCAGCTCATTCCCCTCCCCTGCTACCACTTTTCTAGGATGGTCGCGTACCACCTGCCAGGTGCCAATGTACCACAGGTGGTACCCGTACCACTGGTTGAAAAGCCCTACTCTAGACATCATCCCCACATGAACAATTAATGCAAGGGTCAATGGTCCAGTTGGCCGATCCAGAAAAAGAAACTCCCGGGATATTAGTTTACCAAGAGTATAAACTTTATTGAATAAACTATATTGGCACAGATGAAGCAAAACCAGCTCTGGGTTCCCAGCACAAAAGCTAGCAAAGTTAATTTTCCCTTTTCCCTGTGGACCACCCACAGTCCATTACATCCACCAATCATGTCTGTTTGAACCTGCTCGATGTGTCCTTGGGTTGGGGTCTCACGGGAACAGACGATGCTCAGTTGCAATTGCCCCCACCCCTTGCATTGCACCCCCCTCCTCGCTTTTCTCTGTCCAGTTGCATCAGTCTTGACAGCAAACGGATTTAATGGATTACATTTCACAGGGAAACTCAAAATCACCTGTAATTTAATAATCAAATCCTTTAGGAGTATAGGATCTGGGATCCCCAACGGCTTTCCCTTGTCAAACATCTCATCACATAAATTAAAAGGAGGTTCCATAATGAGGTGCTGTTCCATAAATTAAAAGGAGGTTCCATAATGAGGTGGTGTGCAGCAGTAATTAGTGGGAAAAAACCCAAATTGGTTAGGTTTTTAGTGGGGTGTTTTGATAAATTTTTAGGGGGTATGGGGGGGGTAGGGTGGGTAGGCCAATCCATGCCATGTCTGGGGGACGCGGCACTAAAGTGATCAGGGGGGAGGTTGGGGGACCAGGGGAGGGTGTTGTGATAGGTACGGTCA